TGTATTCCTACCCAGACTGAAAAGCATATTTCACTTTCCAGCTCTTTATTTGCATTTCAAGTTATGAGATTGCTGCAAAATGAAGGGGAAAGGGGCAGAGAGAATTCATTTTCTTCTCTCTTGGCTGAAATACCTGGTAATGAATGGCAGCCAATTTACAGGAGTCATGGATTGTTTTCTTTACCAAATCCAATTACTTTTGAGACTTGAAGAACGAGGCAGAAATGCCGGGCGGTGTTTGTCTAGGGAACTGTGACTCCAAATCAAATCCCGAGAGGACAGAAACGAAAGCCAAGTTCATTATCAACTGACTTTGCTTTAGTATATATCTTTTAATACTTAGACAAAATGAAGAAATTCTCAGAAGTGTTTAGCTAATTAAATTAGTGACACTGGAAACTCAGGATGTGCAGTGCAGTAAAATGGACTTTTCCTTTTGTGAGAGCAAATGACACCCTTAATCATAATAAGGTCTTGGCTCCATTATTCATTAGTCGTTTTGAAGATTTTTTGCCCCTCAAATACCATAGACAGTTCTAGCTCGATAATCCAAACATTAGTAGTCTAATCAGTTAGTGGCACTGTCCAGTTGTCAGCACATTAATCAAGCGATAAGGGTACAGAGAGAAGCACTCTAGGATTGGCCGCCAGCAGAGCCAGTGGGGAAGCACCTGCCTCCGTGTTCGAGGCTGTGGACTCTACCCTAGCACCACACACAGCAGTAGTGCGCTCTATCGTAAACGCTAAAACTTTCTTTGTAATAGGCAGAGTCCTGGCAGCCTCAAAGATGGTGAAGCTGCTAATTCCATGGCCCAGCGAATATGCCACCTCACATGGGAAAAAGGCAGTTATTGATGCAATTTGGCTAATGATTCTAAAGTAGGGAATTATTCAGGTAGGCCAAATATCATTTCAAGATTCCTGCTAAGACAAAGGAGGATGTTGGAGGAAGTCAGAGAAGCCAAGACAAGCAGAAGTCAGTGATGTGGGAAGCCCTCTGTATGCTGTGAATATGTGTTGCTTTTATTGGTGGATGAATAAAGCTGCTTTGGCCTATGGCAGGACAGAATACAGCTAAGTGGGAAAGCTAAACTGAGTACAGGAAGAAAGAAGGCAGAGTCATGGGAGACACCAGCAGCGACTGAATGAGTAAGATGTCAGAGCAGTACTGGTAAAGCCACCGGGCACGTGGTGATACACAGATTATTAGAAATGGGTTAATTTATATGTAGAGCTAGCCAGGGAGAAGCCTGAGCCACCAGCCAAATGACTATAATTAATATTAAGTCTCGGAATGATTATTTCATTTTTTATTCATATTTTCCTGCGGGGACTGGTGAGCAGGAGCAAAACCAGTCTCTTGGGACTGGATGGGACAAAGAAAAGACTTTCAGCTTCAGGTCAGAGTAAACGGAGCCTTTAGCAAGGAAGCTTCCAGAAGCAGGCAAAGGAGGAAATGAAACTGTCCTTGGAGACTACCTAAAGAGCAGAGCCCTGCCCAGGGCCTGATGACCTCAAGCTTGGCCCTCCAGAGCAGTGAGACAATAAATGTGTGCTGTCCTCAGACACTAAGTGTGGCGGGGTTACTGTAGAAGCAGGCGACAGCTCTATTTTATCCTACAAGACGATGATCAGTATTCTCAGGGAAGCTGTGTGAGAGGAGGCGTTAGTAAGATCACCCACACTCCTGGACCATAGATCATTTACATGCTCTCTCTCAGGGACTCAAAATAAACAAACAGCCTAGGGGTGAGTCCCATCCAACCCCCACAGGGGTCCTAACTAGGGGAGTTTCCACTCATATTTGAAATTCTCTGCCTTTTTAATAAATAAGAGTTTGTTTCTCAGTAAAAACAAATTAGTTAATGTCTAGCTATTTGCTTTCAAATGTGAATTTTTCACAGGTGTATCATCATATGTTAGATCGCTGGAACACACTCACTTTGTTAACATAAATACACTTTTTGATGTGTGTTTCCATGCTTACTGTAGGCCCTAGAAACTGGCATTCTACCCTCAGGTACTCTAAGTTTGACTATATTAGATTCTACACAGAAGTAGAATCATAAGCAGTAATACAGCATTTTCCTTTCAGTTTTGGCTTTCATTTAGCACACACACACACACATTTATATACACATATGTAAATACATAATAGACCTTATATAAATGCACCATACATCTAATATATATGACATACACATATACATGTCATATATGTGATATGTGTGAATGATCTGTAGCATAATATACCAGAAATAAAACTGTAGTTAATATTATACTGATTGTATCATACACTTAAAATTTGAAAAGAAGGCAGATCATTTGTATGTGTGTATGTGCCTGCACACATACATGCACATGTGTGTCAAAGTGTGCCTTTGGAGGTCAAAAGACAAGTTTCAAGAGACAATTCTCTATTTCCACCATGTGGATTCCAGGGATTGATCTTAGGAAAACAGGTCTGGCCGGCAAGTACCTTTAACCTGTTGAATAATTTTACTGGCCCCTTTACTGTATTTTAATTTGTTAACTATAATTCATAATGCCATCAAAATGACATTTTTGCATCAGCAGTTTAAAGTCTCAGTGTCACCTCAGGAGTTCAGTTCCTAAAGTATTTACATGGAACTAAACAGAACACACTTGGGGATAGAAACAAGAGAAAAATATGCTTTAGGGTGTGCCCTGCTCCCTTCTATCACCACAGTGTCATAGATGGGGTATTTAAGAAAGCCCAGCACTCAGGAGACAGAGGCAGGTGGATCTCTGTCACATCGAGGCCAGTCTGGTCTACAGAGTGAGATCCAGGACAGACAGGGCTACACAGGGAAACATGGTCTTGGAAACAAACAAACAAACAAATAGTTAAAAAGCAAAGCTTGTCTGACTGCATTCTGGGTAGCCATGGATTCAGGTCAGATTATGTGCAGACTATGACACTTTTTTCTTTCTGCCTTCTCTCCCTCCCCACCCCCATCCTTGTCTCTTTTTTTGAGACAGAGTCTTACTATGTTGTCAGAGCTAGACTTTGAAGTCCTGGGGTCAGTCCTGGGGTGTGTATGAGAGAGAGAGAGAGAGAGAGAGAGAGAGAGAGAGAGAGAGAGAGAGA